GATTATAGGCGTGAGCCATTGCGCCTGGCCAATGTGGGAGTCTTTTCTATTGAGTCTCCCAGGAGGTTCCACCGGGGAGCTGGGTGGAGCCTCTGTGATCTAGTGACATAGTCCCCAGCATGGAGCAGTCGGAAACCTCCTCCTGGAACATGGAAACACGTCACCAGCTTGTCTCCCTTTTCTCGATATTTTGATGTCTCTTTGATCTTTCTGATGGTCTTTTCTTATTTCTGGGTCTCAGCCCTGAGAGACACTTTCCACCTCGTGTCCTAACCTACACTCTGCAGTGCACCGCACCTGTCTGGGGAGATCGGTCATCGCAGGCCCGGGTCCACGTCTCTGCTCTGTTTCTTGCTGGCCAGGAGGCTGCGTGCTCCCTGCTGCACCTCTCTGGGCTCCGCGTGCTTGTCTGTCTAGCGTGCCGGGGCAGGAGCACCTGCCGGCAGACTTCTTGTGAGATTCTGGTTCCGTGGCCTCTAGACCACCTGGGATGAAGCGTCTGAGTCCCGCTGCATTCGCTCTGCTGCAGACCCAGGCCTGCTTCCTGCGTGGGGTCCCTCACGGGTGGTGTGTGTCCCACAGGGCAGCAGGGAGCCAAGGGGCTGGGGCTGCCCGTGAGGAGTGTGTGAATCAAAGAAGCAGACGGAGGCTGGAGCCACCTCGCCCGGATTCCTGAATGCAGCCTCTTGACAGACCGATTGTGTAATGCATTCCTCCCAAGGAAACACGCCTGCCCCCCTCCAAGAAGGTGCAAGAGCTTCCCAGACATGGAAAGGCCCCTGCTGGGTAAATTAATTCTTCATTATTCCGTTCCTGAGGCTCCCCATTGGCTAAGTGCCCCGCACCAACAGACGCCTGCCCACGTCGGTTGGGTCCGCACGCAGCTGACACTGAGGCTTAGGTAGTTTCCTTCGTCCCACCGAGCCGAGTGGAGGACTCATTTAAAAAATGCAAATTCCCATCCATTTCCTGTCCCCCTGCCTGGATTAAAGGGCCTGCTGTGGCTGTGCAAGCCAGCTTTCTGGTATCTAAATACTTCCCTGGTGAGGGCCAGTGCAGGCCTTTACCTCTTGGGGTCGCTGGGGCTGCTACTGGCAGGTGGCGTGAGGCCTCTCCTGCCTCCGAATGACCCCGTACTCCTTCTCCCTTCCTTTCTGTTGCTCCCTTTTTCATTCAGGATGGAGGCAGAAGAGGCGCCAAGCCTGGAACCCACGACTGCCGTGGAGGAGGAGCTGGGCGATGCTTGGCTGGGCACCGTATCGCTCTCATCCCGTTTCCTATCTGTGAAATGGGAATGGCACTCCTGCTTCTCCATGGGATGTTGGAAAAGGAACATGAGGGCACGCATGGCAGTGTTTGGGGCATCCCTGGCCCAGAGGGAAGTTCCAGAAATGACACCTATGATCCCCCAGCTCGGGGGGATCCCCCATTAACAAACACTCGTGTAGCCTAGGGCTGGGGTACAGCATGAGCATGACCTAGTCTCAGCCCCAGGAAGGTGGGCCGTAGGAAGGCCATGGGCATGAAAGACGTGCTCAGGGGCCCCTTCCAGGTGTCACCAAAGAGCCCTGGGGTGTGGCGTGAGCTGGAGGAGGGCAGGTGGGAGGTGGTGGGGCTCGGCACAGTCTCGGGCCTGCCTGGGTTCACAGCCTGGGCCTGCCTGTTACCAGCTGCATGACTTCACCTCTCTGAACCTCAGTTTCCCCAAATGTGAAATGGAGTCGATGCTGATAGCAGCTTCTGCTGGGGTTGTTGAGAAGCTGAAATGAGTATTTGTATGACACAAGTACTCAGTGCCTGGCAAAAGGTATCTAAGTGTCTGTTAAATGTGTAACTGTGTCTACACATCAGGGGGCTGACCTCAGTGTGTTGAATATGTAACTGTGTCTACACATGAGGGGGTTGACCTCAGCGTGCCGAAAGGCCAAAATGGAGAGAAAATGAGGTTGCCCAGGTGTCTTTCCTGGTGGGCCCAGACTTTGGGGTTTCAGGACGGGTGAGAGGGAGTTGGGGTGGGCAGGACCCCGGCATGAGTAGCATGCTTCCGAAAGCTGGCTGGGAGAAATCTTGGGACCTCCTTGTCTAAACTAGACTCCTGGCCTGTGGAGGGGCAGGGGCCCCGCCTCCCTCAGCCCCTGCCGCCCACTGTCTTTCTGGGTGGCTTGCACATCCTGCTGCAGCCTTTCGAGGGCAACCCAGCAGGGAAACTGGAGCTGCAGGCAGGAGGCGCGGCCCGTTTCATCCACCCGGGGATGGAGCGAGCTACAGGTGTGGCCATTGTTCCTGAGCACAGGTGGGGCTAATGCGTCCTGACAGCCCAAGGATGGGCCCCTGGCAGCCTCTGCGGCCTGGCCCGAGCCCCAGGGCAGCCCTCGTGGGCACCCAAATTACAAAACGTCCTGTGAACTCTCTCCACGGTCCTGGTCTCTTCATGTGTTTCCAACGCCGGCGGCTTGGACACACCTGGGAGCAGCTGTGGCCCATTCACGGAGAGCTTTGGTGAAGGTCACCATCCACAGGGACAGAGCAGGTATTGTCAAGGATGCCAGCCTAGCCTTTGTGCCCTGCCGGCTGCCCCAACCACAGGAATTCCTCACACTCACCCTCATTCACACCAGGAGGGTGCCCACTGCCGCTGGGGGCGGCAGCCACCCGCTCCCTCCCCATGCTGTTTTCAGGCCGGAGGCTGGAGCCTCGGCCAAAGCAACCTCACCCACCATTTTCCAAAACCTAATTGCCATGGCTGTGTCTGTGACGGGCACAGACCCAGGTGCCGGGCCTGCCAAGAATCTTCCCGTGTGAATACCTGCACAGGGCACCTCCTGTGGGAACCGGGAGTCACATAGAGCCTGGCATTTGTCCCCAGCCTGTCTTGTGACATTAGGTAGATCAAAGCCCCATTGTAAAAAGTCATGTTACCTCTGTTCATCTGCTTGGAGGCTGTGTCCTGGGACGGCCCTTCCCTCGGCTCTGGCTCGGGGAGGGAGCTGACCGCCGAGACAGACATGTGCTCACATTTGGGCCCCAGCGTTCCTCCTGGAAGGAGCCCCACCGAAAGTGAAATTGCCTTTCATGGGTCTGAGGCTGGGGCACACCCTGAGAAAGAATGAGAAAGTGTGGGGCAGTACGGCTCCTCTCCAAAGCCTTCAGAGGAACAAGTTCCTACTTGGTTCTGCTAAGGAACAGCAAGAAGGCAGAGAAAAATGTCACCAACACTGAAATCCTGGAGGCTTCCTGAATTGGCGATGGGGGTGGGGAGCTGGCAGAGGCTGGGGAGGGGGCAGCCTCTGTCCAGCAGCCCCTTGGGTCATGGCAGGGAGGGGGTGATGGCAAAAGGTGAGAAGACACGATGCTTTGACAAGAGTGGGTGGTGGGGCAGGATCAGATCCTTCCAGAGGGCACAGCTTCCCCTTGACTCCTAGCCTGGCCATTGTGTGTCAGATGAGGGGGGCAGTCAAATTGCTCAACTGCCTGAGGGGCGACTTGAGAGCTAGAAGGATCTTTACCCATCATGCAGTCCTTAGGTAGTCCATTGGTACAGGCTGCCTGGAGCATGTGCTGAGATGGGAAGAACTGTGCCAAGATGGATTAGTAATGTCTGCATGGCTGCCGGACTGTCAGTGATGGTGTGTGTGTCGTGTGTTTGCCATCTCTAGTCAGGATAAGCTAGGTTTTGCTACCAAAACAAATAAACCTCCAAGCCTCAATTGCTTATTGCTGTGAGAACTCATTTTCCCTCACACAAAGCCCAAAGTGAAGGGGGTGACTTGTTAGGACAGCGGTGCTCTATGTCATGATTTAGGGATCTAGGCTGTTTTTATCTTGTGCTAATGGAGGGTCTCATGGTGCTTCTCATGGCCTTAGCCTGAAAGTGACACACACGTCCCTTCTTCTTACTTTTCACCGTCCAGAACTGCTTCGGTGCTCTTTGACTGCTGACTCCCTCAGAAGCCAGCATGTGTCCAGAAGGGAAGAAAGTGGGATGGGGTCTGTGGGGCAAAGAACATAATCTCTACCACACTCAGACCCATCCTCTCTGTTACAGAGGATTGAGTCTCTTCTACCCAATAGGGGCATGGGACATGGTTTCTAGACAAGAAAGTGACTTGAACAAAGTCAGTAAGGGGTGTTGGCACCGTTGGGAGCAGCCTAACTACCATGTAGGCATTTTTTGGATGTACCACAGTGACAAATTGTCTAAGTCATTTTTCTAAGTCTATCTCTCCTCTGTCCTGTGAATTTTGTCATCCCCAGAGGTGCTTTCTCTTACTGGAAAGTCTAGTGGAGGGACCCTGTGCCTTGGGTCCCTCCACTAGACTTTCCAATGGGTGCCCCTCTTAGAAGCCCATGTTCTCTTTGCTGGGGTAAAGCCATTCAGGGCTGGATGACTTGATGAAGGTAAACCATAGCTGCCAAGGGTCCTGGATATATGAAGCCTGCCCTTGATTAAGCTATATCCTAATTCCTGAAAGAGAATGGCAAAATCCTGAAGCTACACTCATGTTTGAGTTCTGTAGTGGATAGGACCATTTTGGGTGTGATTGGCTTATGAATTTATATACTTGAAAAGCTCAGGGTTTTCAGCTGCAGGAATGGCTGGATTCAGAAGCTCAAATGATATCAGAACTCAATTTCACTCTCTCCATTTCCCATTTCTGTCTTCCTCTGAGGAGGCTTTAATCCCTGGATCCTCTTTGATTGGTGAGGCTGGGGTCACATGCCCAACTCTAAACCAGCTACCATGGTCAGGAGGATAAGAAACACTGATTGACCAACCTGGAGCTTGCAGACCTCCTCTGCCCCTTGGGTCCTCCTGGTCTGAGAAAGGCTTGCACTGGGAAGGGGCCCTGATGGACAAGACACGGTGCCCCACTTTGCTCTCACCTGTTGATAGTGACACACGTTCCAGGCCTTCCGTGATAGAGATGTAGGAGATCATACTCCAGAAGCCCAGAGGAAGGAGGTGCTCACTCTGCCCAGGGAACAGATAATCAAGGATGGCTTCCTGGAAGAGATGTGTTTACTAGACAGCCAAAGGGGAATGGGGAGGGCATAGCAGCAGTGGGAACAGCAGGGGCAAAGGCAGGAGGGCAAAAAGACCATCCTCACCAGAGGACCCTGGTTGCTCAGTGTGATGTCCACTTGCCCTGGGGGGAGCAGTGGGAGGGACAGACAGGACTCAGGGCTGGTGAGGGTGTCCGGGGCCTGTTCTGACCATGCCTTGAGATTGGGTGAGCTGGGTGAGAACGCTGAGGGGCAAAAGCAAACTTAAATTCCACGGGGAGAAGAATGGGATGTGGGCTAGTGTAGACCTCAGATGGCTGGGCAGAGAGGTGATGGGCATTTCTTAATTGTGACCCTGGGGCAGAGATGGATCTGGTGCTCAAAGAGGCTAGTCAGGCCAGGAAGCTCCCTGAAGGTCGGCCAGAGGAGCTGGGGTGTATCCTCCCAAATGAAGCCTCACTGAAGGGTTTCAAGCACGTGGGGCTGTTTTCTGCGTAAACAGATGGTTGCGGCTGCTGTGGTGTATGGTGTGGGTTGGAGGAGGCAAGGCTGGCTGGAAAGAGGTGAGGGGCTAGTGCTGATGGCTGATTTTGTGTTCACCAAGTGCATATAAGGTTCAAAACTATATGGGCTTGGTGGACCTGGGAGCTGGGGCACAATGAGGGATGAAGGGAGCGTGGAGAGTTAGGAGAGTCACTAACCCCCAGCTTTGAGAATTTCAGCCACTCTGTCCACAGACGAGGGGCAGGAAGGAAGCAGACAAGGTATGAGGTTTCCGCAAACGCTCTGCACTCATATGCCCGCCTCACATGGTGGTCAGTCACAGCCTGGGTGCTCTTTCTTTACCACGAAATTATGATGAATATTCTAAACTTCTTTTCCTACTCCACAGTAAATTAAGAGCTCATAAATTGGAAATTGTGTGTGTGTGTGTGTGTGTGTGTGTGTGTGTGTGTGTGTGTGCGAGAGAGAGAGAGAGAGAGAGAGAGAGAGAGAGAGAGAGAGAGAGAAAGGGAGCAATAAGGGCAGCAGCAGCTGAGATGGAGATAAAGTTCTGCTAAAGACATTCCTTGAACTCATAAAGCATTTGGGCCACTGGTGTAAAGGTGATAGTTTTATATAACTCAACCCTACAGAAGGGTGTCCCATTAGAAGATGGAAACACTGTCATTAATAGGTGCTGGTAGTTGCTCCATCTGGCCACTTCAAGGCAAGCAAGGTTTCTTGGATTCACCCAGGATGCTGGCACATCCCAGTGACTGTCACGTGGCTGAATGGATGCACATTCCAGTTATACCCCCATTCTTCTAGCTGGCTGAAGCTGACATCCCAGAAGACCTGTCAGGTGGTTGCCTGCCCCACGCCCCAATGCAGTGCCTTCAATAAGGTAAATGAGCTACATGGCTTCTGTTTAAGAAGATGGGGAAGGTGCAATGCAAGTAGGAAAAAAAAAATCCCACCCTAAATGGGCTTGCATTTTAGAAAGTGTTTCGTGGTCCCAGCCAACTGACAGCGTGGACTCAGGGTGGGGGAGTGCTCTAGACTTGGCAAACCAGGTGTATTAGACTGTTTTCACACTGCTATATAGATACTACCTGAAGCTGGGTAACTTAAGAGGTTTAATTGGCTCACTGTTCCCCAGGGCTTAGGAAGCCTCAGGAAACTTACAATCATGGCAGAAAGTGAAAGGGGAAGCAAGGCACATCTTCACAAGGCGACAGGAGAGAGAGAGAGAGCGAGAGCAAGAGCGAAAGAGAGAGAGAGAGAGGAAGGAAGCACCACATTTTAAAATTATCAGATCTCATGAGAATTTACTCAATATCATGAGAACAGCATGGGGGAAACTGACCCCATGATCCAATCACCTCCTTCCAGGTCCCTCCCTAACACATAGGCATTATAATTTGAGATGAGATTTGGATGGGACACAGAGCCAAACCATATCACCAGGGGAGAAGGGGTGTGAACACCACGGCTCCTCAGAGCAAAGCTGTCAC